TCCCACATCTTAGAAAGCTCCCACATCTTAGAAAGATGTGGTGTAGAGAAACCTAAGCAGAGCCTGATGACAGTTCTGGCTGGAGCTAAGAAAATCAGAATGCTGATAAGAATATGAACAAGCAAAGGCCAACCTCCTGAGGGTTCAATTGGGAATGAGGATTGTATTGGGAATTGGGCTAGAGGTCATGGATATTACACTCTGGTAAAAAATTTTCTACATTGTACCTATGTCTTGAGACTTTTCAGACTGAGTTCAAAGGTAGAAGGCTAATTGATCTGGCAGAGGAAATTTCAAGGCAGCCCAACATTCAGACTGTGACATGGATACCCCTGGCTGCTTTTAGCCAGGTGTATAATGAGAATTGAGAGCAAAAAGCAGAACAAAAGTATTTGAAAAGCAGAATTTGTCCTGCAAAGAACCATTTGTAAGGTTGGGGCCAAAGGAGGTAACAAAGGATCTAAGTGCCATTAAAAAGAAACTAAATGCTTTGAACTGGGATAGAAGAAAAATGCCTTGAGGACATCTCAAGAATCAGCAACTTACCACCCTTTTTCGACTCAAGAGTGCAAGATTATAAACATTTAATTTGCAAAGAAAATGTCTGGGACTCCTACTTGAGAAGGAACTCCTAGGGAATTGGCTCCCTAGGATTCGTTTCACCATGCTCAGCCACCCAGGCACTCAGAGCTGCTGCTGTCCTGTTGCAAGAGGATCCAGCTACTGCTTGTGTTGGCAGCAGACTTGGGCATCGTCCATGTGATGCTGATTTTCAGGTATGCAGAGTGTAAGAATTGTGGGATCAGGGAGGCTTCCGTCCAGATTTCAAAGAAAGACCTGAGAGGCCAGCTATGGACCTCTGAGAGGGTATGTGAAGCTGTAGGAAAGAGGCTAAAGGTGCAGGAAAGACCCCAGGAAGTTGGAGTTGTCAGGAACATAGACCATCTGCTGAGAAAAGTCATGGACAATGAGTAATGCCTGTCCAAGAAAGGGCTGCAACCAGCAAGGCCATAGCAATAAAGCTTTCCCTGTGGAATACACATCTCATCACACTGTGCCTTGGCACCTCTGGCCTGGAGCTACAGGACCTAACATTTGTCCTGCTTGGCTTTGCTCTTTTTTTTTTCTCTGTTCTTTTTCATCCCCCTGTTCTTTCCTGTCGGGATGAGAATGTCTATCCTGTGCAGTGCCATTTAGGCAATGGTGCTTTAGAGTTAGGTAATTTTTTTTTTTTTTTTTTACTTTTCATGTACTTCTGTAACGCATGTTAGATTTAAAAAAAATAATCCACGGACATCTGTAATCTCAGCACTTGAGACACTGAGACAGAAGTATGGCTGTGAGCTCAGGGCCAGCCTGAACTACATAGTGAGACCCTGCCTAAAAATGACAAAGCAAGACAAAATGTCATATTATAAAACTGAGCCTAATAGCATAACAACAACAACAACAACAAAACCTCATCATTTTGCATATCAGGAAAAAATCATTATATTTACTGCTCATTATAAAGGGCCCTTTTAAAATTTTTTTAAATTTTGGATTATTTTACTAACAATTTACAGAAAGAAGAACAAGCAGGTGATGAATATGACAAAATAATAATTTAATAATTTAAGTAATTTTTCATATTTTCCTGGTTTGGGGATGTTGTAAGCTGAAGGGGTCAATGCCTCTGAGTGTAGCTGACTGCATCCAGCTGTTGTGCAAGAGCTGGGAACACTTCCTTTGTTATAAACACAGATTCCAGGTTAAAAAACATCTCCACTAGGTTATACCTCATCAGGACTTCTGGCGTTTCTTGCATGTGCATTAACACAATGCAATCTTATTGAAAAATGTGAAGGCTTATAACCTAGCAGAAGATGGTCACTCTTGATTTTGTAAGTACAAAATTATTTTCATTTTCATTTCATTTCAATTTTCTAAATGTTAAATCAATCAACCTAATGAGCATTCTTTTATTTTTATACCTCTGTCCCTTAAATCACACATATACCTATGTATGTATGTCTGTAACATTTGTTAATATATGAGTCATAGAAGTAAATTTTACGGGCAAGAGAAAAGAGAGAGGACATGTCATGTAACCTACTAAAACAGGATGGGTCAGGGCCTTGTTGAAAAATATTAAATGATGAAATGCTTCCTGCTGAATGACTAATGGGTTAGATAATCCTGTATCCTTTGGTCTTTATAAATACACTGTTGACTCTTTGATTAGAGTTTCAGAAAATGGATTTCTCCTAAAGACTGGCAGCCCAATATTTTGCTTACGTAGTCAGTTTGACCCCCTAGTAGTGCCTTAAGTGCTTCGTCTGCTTTCTCACCACCCAGAACTGTGCAATGTCTTTCTGCGTTCATTTCCCTCCCTATTACACGATAGGCAGAACTTTCAAAATTATGCTTATCTGTGTTCAACGAAAGCTAAAAATAAATTAGTAAAGATCCCATCTCCAAACTCATTTTAGACCTCCTTGAAAGACAATGTACTTAAGGTACACTATTAGAAAAGTAAAGAAGGATATTATTGTGGTGACTTATTTACTTATTAAATTCTATATTTTTTGTGTTGTTTTCTTGTTACTTTATTTTTGAGTACTAGGGGTTCGTACCCAGGCCCCTGGCATTGAGTTACATCTTCAGTACTTTTGTATTTTTAATTTGAGACAGTATTTCACTAAGTCACTAGTTGTCTGGGCTGGGCTTGAATTTGGAATCTTTCTGCCTCAGCTTCCCATAGTGCTGGAATTACAGCTGTGCGCCACCACACCCAGATTTATTATTTTACTTTTTAAAAACATAGTTGGAAATAATTGCTGTGTTCACTAAATAATTCCTAGGATGGTGAACTAGCAAAATGTTTAAAGATACAGAAAATGTAAAATCATGTACTTCTGTAACGCATGTTAGATTTAAAAAAAATAATCCACGGACATAAATATTAATAATAAGAAAATGAATTTAATTGAATTAAACATAAGTAAGTTTTCTCTCTGATCTTTGGAAGACCTCTAAGAAATAATAAGCATCATGCAATCTTTATCTTTGTACATAGAACTGCTCTATAAAAAAGCTTAAGAACTAACATTGGGTTTGGTGGACCCTGGTATTATTGCAAAGGTTGTCATTTAATGAATAAAAGTGGTGAGAACACTGAAAAGACCTCTTGTTCCTTTTGCTTGATAATACCGCGGGTCAACCCCCCCCCCAAAAAAAAACCCCACAAGAATACCTCTTAATTTTCTTCTTTTGTTGCTGGGGGATTATATTGTGTTTCAGGGGAATGTGCAGACATATTGCCTCTTCTACAAATACCTTGCATTTATTGGGTAAAATAATATAGTAAGCTTATTGTATTTTAAACTCTACAGCATTACACAGTTACAAGGCCCTTGTGTGTGTGCTTAGTACATTTGTATTAAGTACTGCTCAAATGTAAGATCTTTTCTTTGTTTTTGTGTTAAAAAAACCTTTAGTGGCCAGGTGTCACAACACACACACTTGTAATCCCAGCACTCAGGAGGCTGAGGCGGGAGGATCTCTGTGAGTTTGAGGTCAGTGTGGGCTACATAGTGAGACCCTATCTCAAAAGGAAAAAAAAAGTCTTTAGGAAGAGAGTATTCTAGTTTAATTAGTATCTCCTTCCACGTGGACTCACTATTTTAACAAATCAAAGGGGGAAATGTGAACAGAAAGTTTTGGGACACTTTCTAGAATTTGGTATTAAGTTTATACTTATATAACTTCATTTATAATTATTGAAGACTAGCAAGTAGTAAGAAATAAATGCATCATTGTGTTTGTCCTAAATTGTCAGGATAACTGGTTCTCAAGTTCAGAAATTTTCATTGTGGGGCCCTAGCTTTTACAGAGTAAAACATCTTTGTATATTTTTTTCAATTTCATAGTCCAAAAATTCTTACTGCAGTTTGTTTTCTCCTTCAATGTCAACAAATTTTAAAAATTTCATTGTGCAATTTTTCCACCTCCTTTAACTTGCTCCTTAAAATCTTTCAATATTGCTTCAAGTATCATTGAATCATTAATCTTCTTACCAGTTTAGCACAATCTCCACTTCATATGTAAGGAAATTTTGCTTCTTAATGAATTTTAGAGAGTCTAATTTGAAATTTACACCCTCTTTCCCTTTGCTAACCTGTGTAGCCCACTTGGCAAAGCCAAAGAAATCTTAGATGTATGCATGAAACTTAGCGCACTGCTTAGTTTCGTCTGAGTGGCGGCCCTGCTTAATTGATGTGAATTAAGCAGCAAATGTGCATCCAGCGTCAGTCAGTTCCGTGGTGACTACAGGGTGAGCCACCGCCGAGGCCCTGTAGACTCTGGCCAGAGCTTGGGCTGTCGATGGCTGTTTTCTAACCTCATGGCACAGCTTGCATGCACACGGGACTTCGTCCTTGCTGGCTGAGATGTTCATGGTATTCACAGTAAGAACTGGAGTCAGAGTTTGGGTGACTGAAGAAGACATGTGCTACAGGAAGCTCTTGAACCAGGAGGGAGGCTGGCCTGCATGCTCTGGTTCCACACCTCACTGTAAGACCGTCCTCATTTAATGACCTCTACTGGTGAGCAATGGTCAGGGCTTATCACTGAGGTGCACTGTCCGACTTAAAACCTGTGTCTGGACTTTCGAGGGGGGAGAGTGAGTGGCAGTGGGGCCTTTGGTAATCTTCTGATTGTTCTGGTCAGTACAGTGCTGGAATTCTGTGTCCTGTTGGACACTGTAGTACTGCATGGAAGAGTGGAACACAATGTGTTCAGGGTGGAGTTTCCTGAGACTGTCTCTGTCTGAATATCGAGTTTTGCACATAACATATAGTTCCTCATTAGCAGCTGTCTCCATGAACGATCTGGTCGTAGGAACAGAGCTCAATGGTAAAATGAAGGGCATTCAGAGGCGTGAGTGCAGGCTGGTGCCTTTGCGGACTGGCTTCCCATCGGCCGTGTCACAGACCCCATCCTGCTGTCTTCTCTTTCAGATCTTCATTAACAATGAGTGGCAGAACTCGGAGAGTGGGCGAGTGTTCCCAGTCTATAACCCAGCTACGGGCGAACAAGTGTGTGAAGTCCAAGAAGCAGACAAGGTATGGAGAGCGCAGGGCGCAGGGCAGTCCGCGTGCTCTCATGATGTCCCGCTCAGTGTGGGCGTTGCTCACTTCGGTAAACTTTTATATTTATTGTTGCATGTCTGCTATACACGATGACCACAGTCCTCATGGGCAGCTGGTCCGTGTATGTAACACATCTTCACACGTTTCTCCTCTCCTCTGCTTCTCTTCTCTTCCTCCTTCCCTTCCTTCTTCCCCTTCCTCTACCTCCCTACTTCTTACTGTCTTTTGTTTTGCTTTTTATATTCTGCATTTCTCATGTCAGAGAAACCATGTGATGCTTAAGCTTGTGCTTCTGATTTGTTTCACTTAACATTTTGGTCTTCAGATGCATCCGTTTTCCTACACAACTCAGGTTTATCCTTCTTGATGGGAGAGTAGTGTTCTACTCTGTGTGTGTGTGTGTGTGTGTGTGTGGCCATTACAGAAATGCAAATTAAAATAACACCAATTAAGATTCCACCTTACTTCCAAAAGAATGGCTATTATCAAGCGGTCAAATAATGCCAAATCCTGGCGAGGGTGCAGGGAAAAAGAAGCCCTTCAATACTGTTAGTGATACCATAAAGTAGTACAACCACTATGGAGATTAGAGAGCTTCAAAAAATTTACGCTAGGAATTCCATTTGGCCCAGCTCTTCTCTTTCTGGGTATGTTCCTAAAAGAATTAAAGATGAGCCGTCACATTGCAGTGCTGCAGTTTAGTCTTTAAAGCAGCCTGTAAGTCCCTCAGGAGACACATGTATGAGGAACAGGCGGTGGGTGCACACAGACCCCCATTTGCCAGAGCCCATGCCCTTCCTGTGCGCGGACCAGTCCTCTCCTCAGCTGGGCCTCTGTTCCCTCGCAGGCAGACATAGACAAAGCCGTGCGGGCAGCACGCCTGGCCTTCTCACTGGGCTCGACATGGAGGAGGATGGATGCGTCAGAGAGAGGACGTCTGCTGGACAAGTTGGCTGACTTGGTGGAGCGAGACCGAGCGATTCTTGCAGTAAGTGGCCTACGGAAACGGTGCACCTTTATCCCGAGTTCACTGTTCTGCTGGGATTTGGGTGCCTTGTCTTTCTGCAAGTATGCCACGAAGCAGAACTGGGGGAAAGCTAATGCGCGCATGTCACTTATGAAAAGTGGGAGATATGAAGGTTTGAGGGCAGAGCAGGTGGGGAACTGGGGATCAGCTGAGTGTCTTTTCTCTCTGTGTCATGAAGAAAAAACTGGCCTTCCATGCCTGGTGGGGATCCTCCTTCCTCCACCTTCCACCTGCTTGGCCAAGCAGAACCATCAAGCAAGAGGAGATGCTCTAAGCTGGTTGCAGAAGACCAACGCCGAGGGCTCTGCCGGGGATCAAGCAGGGCGAACTTCTCTGTGCCCTTCGGATGGGCACAGCGGGATGTGGCCCTCTCACACATCCTACTCTGTCTCTCCTCTTTTTTTTTAGAACCTACAGGAAGAAGAGCAAAGAGACACCAGTAGTTTTCACTAGAACACTTCTTTGGACAGAAGGAGCTGCTCCTGTTCTAAAGAGTTTTTTGTTATTGTTTCTGTTGCTGTTTGTTTTTTTTTTAAAACCTGTGTCTTAAGAATATGAATATTTTGGAAATTGGAGCCTTTTGGGAGCATAGGTGTGGCATACTCACCATGCCCACACTGACTGGCCAATGTTTAGGGTACTGAACCCATTCCTTCTGCTTGAGAAAACAGGTCACTGCAGGGCTTGCTTAGGGGAAGGGGCAGTCACCCCTGTGGCCACTTTGGATGAAAAGGGATTAGAAGCCTATAGAGCAAGTCTATGGCTGTAAGAACCCAGCAGCTGTGTGGTGAAGCAGCTCCTTCTCAGAGGCTCACCAGCCCTGGGAACCCTAAGGCTCTGGAGAGGCCGGCAGTGCCTCTCAAGCTGTCACTTTTCTGGCAAGCCTACTGATGTAGAAAGCTGAGTTCCTCCAGGTACCTTGCAGAATATTAGTGTATATGTGTGTCTCTTCTCCAGTATTAAGTTTTCCTTAAGGATCAGAATTACACCTTGCTGTTTCCTTGATCATTCTGGCATAGTTCCTGATGCCTCAGTGGCCATTGAATGTCTGCCAGAGTTGTATACACACAGGCAACATTCGCAGTGCTGGGGTACTGATAGGTGCTGGAAGGCGATGTGATTTACTTCCACAGCTGTGTTTTCAGGTGACACTCAGATGTCCCCACTTTTCCTGTCGTGTGTCTCACTGAGATGGAGTCTCTTTTCCCACCACTTGCAAACACGATTGTGACTTTGAAACCCTTCCTGGATACAGGAGAAGCATGTTAATGAGAAGTACCCTCTCCACTGCGTCCCAGGGTAGCACCTGTGAGAACAGAGCCAGGGCTAGTGTTCTCAGGAGGGTTCCCTACTGCCAGCCACTCCCGGGGACTGCTTAGTTGGCCCGGATTCCAATTATTGACTCCTTAGCTCTGTGGTTTATAGATTTTGGCTCTAGGGCAGCTTTTTGGAGCAAGAATTCCATCTTACGAGCATATGAATATTCTGAAAAGCACTTGAAAATGACTTGGTTCCCTTGAGTAAAGGTGAGCCAGGATGCAGTGATACAGGTAGTACACAGATAAACATAATTGCTATCTGGAGTGGAGAATCCTTCAATGTTAGCTTTGTTAGCCATCAAATAATTTTTACACCAGTGTAGGGTGTAAGATTTCCTTATGAAGCCATGAAATGGCAAATACAAACTCTTATTTCATTTGTTAAAAACTGGAGTAACTTTAATATGTCTCAGGTGAAAATACTCTTATTTTATTGTACTCATTTGTCACGGTTTTGGTCATAGACTTAATCAGTTTAGGAGCATGCCATTAAAATACTGTTTATAATGTAATGCTATTCAATATTGTTGTTTTTATTAAATGGGCCAGATACTTTATCCTTAATAGATAATGGTTGTTAATGTAAATGTTTACAAAAGCCAGTCTTTAACTTGTTAAAGGCTTCCCTGGAGGAGATCTTGTTTGGTGGTACTAAATAAACTGGACGTGTGCTGTGAAAGTTCCATTTCTCAGCAGGGGTCTCTGCAGCTATGGAGTCGGGTTAGATTCTCATCAGCTGCATAAAGAGCTCGCGTCTCCTTTCTCTCTATGGATTTAAGTGACTAGCAAAGACTCAAAAAATGTCCATTCGGCTATGACCATTAATATAACAGAAGCCAGGTTGACAAGCAGAGTGTCTCTTTATTATCAGTCGTGTTTCTGTGTTTGGATAGTGGTTCCTGGAAACACACACACACACACAGAGAATCACATTTATTATTGTTTTTACTAGAAACAAGACCAAACCTACAGTCCTGGAGAACCCTTTATTTGGGAAATCAGAGTGGAAAGGGAATATATCACAGTCAGGTCCATTTACATTCTCTCTCTCCTGTTTTCTTTTGCTCCAGGAAGTAGTGTATTGCTGAAAGGTTCTCGGTACTTAATTTCTCTCCCTGTCTTTCCCTACAGACCATGGAGTCCCTAAATGGTGGCAAACCATTCCTCCAAGCTTTTTACGTGGATTTGCAGGGTGTCATCAAAACCCTTCGGTATTACGCAGGCTGGGCTGACAAAATTCACGGAATGACCATTCCTGTAGGTATGTGAAAACGGAGGACTTGGAAGAAGGAGACGTGAGCTTCCAACTAGAATCACACTTTTACCGCCCGACACAAGCGACAGCCACACATGATAGGGACTCAAGACACTCTGAGCAGCTTAGACCAAGCACAGAGCCAAAGAAATCATGTCACCCTGAGCGTGTCGTTCTTTCTGTAGACCGACAGCCTCCGTGGAGGTGGTGCATCAAGTCAGCTAGGAGCAGGTGTAAAGGTTTGTTGGATAGGTGCCAGGGGACCAAGGAGCAGGGGATGGGACGGGTCCAGGAAAATTCCAAGGAGATTAAGACTTAGCCCTTTCCCTCAGGAACATAAGACCCCTCTTTAAAAGGGGAATACTTTAACATGTCAACAGTTCTGTCTCCAGGTGGTGGGATTATGGGTAATTTTTTTATGTATTCTGTATGTTTTTTCCTGCTTTCTGTATTTCCTATAATGACCACACAGACTTTCATCATCTATCAAAACCATCATCCTGACTTTTTATGTTATTAAGCTCCAGATAAAAACTAGCCCCACAAAGCAGTGACAAGGCTGTACAGGGGCGTTAAACAGAGTGGCAACGTTATGTCAGTGCTGAACCTCAGAGGGAGGCAGGAAGTGTCCAGGACTAGGGTGGTGGAGAGGCCTTGGGCCGAGCTGGAACCCTTAGTGATGACACCAACTGAGGCTTCCACAGCCACCTAAGAGCACAGCGCTGTAACTAATGCCCCCAGTTAATGCCCTGAAGCCTAGAGAAGTCGAATAATTTCCCTAATTCACATGCTAGTAAGTTTTAGAGCTCAAGTTTTACCCAGAGCCTTGGTTCTTTATTATTTCATCATCTGAGCTGCTGGGTGGAAGGAACAGTGCAGTGAGCAGGGGACGGACCGACGGAGGTAGTGGAACTCACGGTGAGGGACCAAAGCTGGGGGGGGCGGGGTGCAGGGCCAGGCCAGGCAGCTGGGAGCGCTCGTAATTCCTCACTGATTTCCCTCACGTTTGTTCAACCAGTTCATTTTTTGCATGTTTCTCAGTTCATATTGAACACCAGTTTGATTTTGTGTTTGAATCTTGGGCCTTTTTACCCGTGAAATGGAGACTGTATGAGGCCCTTAGCCTTTAACCACAAAATCTGTACTGTTACATGCATTTTTCTGCAAAAAAAAAAAAAAAATCTGTTTTTATGTTTGGAAGGGTGACATAAATTCATAATGCATTTGCCTGGTACTTCAGAGTGTGATGCGATCTTTCACATGTAAGATCTAGTGATTTTTTTTAATACCAGGGATCAAACTCACAACCTTGCACTTGCCAGGCAGGCGCTTACACCACTGAGCTAAATCCCCAGCCCAAGATCTAGTGATTTTGTTTGTGATCCTATGAGATGGGCTGAATGTAACAAGACACTATTCCCATTTCACAGCTAGGCAAATAAGGCACTGAGAGTTTAGCGTCTTAAACAAGACCATGTGGCCAGTAAGTAGCAGGCCTTAGACTCAAACGCAGGTCACTTGCTGCCTAGAAAACCCATTGGGAACTTTGCTGTGCCCTTCCCTCTTCTGCAGGGCTTTGGGTTAATACACAGTTGGTTCTGATTATTCAGTTATGTTCTATAAAGGTGTCACAGAGCCCGAATTCACAAATCCTGAGCTGTTGCTCCGGGAGTAAGTGCCTGATTAGGTGCCAACCCCTCAGAATGTGAGTGTTTTATGTGTGTTTCTGTCAAAATTCCCTTTCTTTAACATGGCTTTTTGGTGTATGCGCATTGAATTGTGGCAAGCTCACCAGCCACTTGTCCCCAAATAGACTTTGTCTAACGCTAGGTCACACCTTGGGGACACTAGCAGTACTCCTGCATGGTGCTCTGGGGCCATTGGAGCAAGATCATCAATAAAAACACAACCACAGAAGAACACAGTACTGAAGAAATCATAAAAATGGAGGATCTAAAGCAAGAATTCTGAGTGCCACCTTGTTCAGCTCCCACTGAGGTCGAATGTATGGGGCCAGGCAGATTATTGTTTTATTCCTGGAAATGATTGTAAAAATGATACAGGTACTGGCTTTGGGGTTGCTTCAGTAGGCAGGTTCCTAAATCCAGAATTGAGGAATGGTGAAGGTCAACTTTATCTAGACTGCTCTGGTGAGTTGGCGCTTACGGATTTCACACATGCGGGAACACATATGGCCATGGGTCCCCCAACTGTGTCATGAGGTTAAAGTGGCTTTCACAGCAAGTGTCTGGGAAGAAGCTCACATGGCTGGGACTGGTCACACATAAAAACTAACCTGACCAGTTTCTAAATTAAAAATCTAAGACTACTTTGCTTTCCTACGCTGAGTGACATGATGGGTCATCCAGCTTAGCGGCCCTGAGGCTGAAGGGTGAGAACCACATGGAGTTGGGAGCATCCTGCTGCTGTCCAGCTCCTGTCTTCCCAGTGAGGGGCCTGGAGCAGAGCACCCTGAATGAGTAGGAAAAGCACTTCCTTCACCCCCGATGCCAGCATCACCTCTTCCCCACTTACGGGTCACCCATTCGTTCATTGCCCAGATGTTTCTGAGCACCTGCGGGGTTTCAGGTCCCGTGCTGGGCACTGGGGATATGAAGGTGGATTCTCTGTCCAGCGAACAGTAATTGCCCTTCAGTGTGGCCGGCTCGGAGGGTGAAACGTGAAGCTCAGTGGCCTAAATTAAGTTTTCCTGGGGAGACAGGGACTCCTTTCCATCTGCCCAAGATCTGTCTCCCTGTTACACTGCAGAGACGAGATGGCAAGAGTGGTGTCCCACAGGTGTCCCTGTGTGGGGAGGAGAGGACAATGTGCCCCAGGGGTTGGGGAAAGCTGGTTCTGGTGCAGAGACAGGAGGGCTCAGCCTGCAGCGGCTGTGCTGCAGGTTTTATTCTGAAGGCAGTGGTGAGACACAGAATTACTTGAAATAGATGTTTGCTTTGGTCAGGCTGAATTTTAGACAGCACTTTGCTATGGTGGGTAATGGGTTGGCAAAAACAAATACTTGCTTGCTTTCTCTGAAAGGGTGTGCTCCCTGGAAAGGATTATCTTTGGAGCGATTAAGCGGCCAGCAGTTTCCTCTCCTGGCTTGGGAGTTTCTCCTCCTGGTCTCCGCTCTGCTGCGCCTCAGGACAGTGCTGTGGAATTCCACAGTTTCGGTTTGGTTTGAGCCACAGGGGGCTACACTGCGCTCCCCACTGTTCACTGCCGTGGAGCCGCAGGCAGCTGTCCTCTCTGAGCAGACGTCCTATGGGTGGCCCATCTGCCCAGCTCCTGTCTGTGAAGATCAGTAATAAGTCTTCCTGTGATTCACCGGGCACTTTCCTTGTGCTCACTGATGACCTGCACTTGCAGGGCACCCCTGGCGGGAGCCAGCATTGTCCCCATTTGCTTGTGGTTTGACTTACATCCGACCTGCAGCTTCTTGCCTACTCATAACCTTGCTGTGGAGGAAGGATCAGAGCTTTTTTTTCAGTTTACTGAGGGAGATATGGGCTTGTGTTGCCTTTGGTTTTTCTGTGCACTGAGCGTTGATTTTATGTTATGTAGAGACAATGTAGCTGTATTTTAAACTGAATGCTTATCTAAAAATAGTCTCACTCTATATTAGCATATGGAAAAGCGTAAAGACGGTGCAGGGCATATATCATTACTGACGTTTCTTTCCGCTGTTTCCAGTGGACCTGTTAAGGAATGGGCTGGAAAGGTGCACAGGTGTTACCTGGGGTCCTAAGCTTCTGTCTCCAGTCCTCCTGGTGGGGGTCGGTGTTGCCACAGTGAACACAGCGGTGAGAGTTGAGATCATGTCCAGTCTGAGTGGCGGGGAGGAGCTCTGTGCTTGCCCAACCTGGGAAGGACCGACTGTCACTGGTGGGACCTGAGTTGGTAGTGACAGGTGGTCATGAAGTTGGCCTCACTGGGAACCCCCATGAGTGCCTGTGGTTGAAAGGACCACAGGGATCCGTGAAGCCGGGCTTCTCATTTTGTAGGCAGAGAAACCAAGTGCAGAGAAGTAAATTGACCTTTTAAAGGGTGCGTGGTGTAATCATGTAAGGCTAAGACATCTTCACGACGGCTGCAGGGACGCACAGTCTAACTTCTCAGACTCGACCGGCAGACTCCTGGGAAGAGCAGCATGAGAACCGCTTCAGGCTAATGTGAAGGTCACTGCCGGAATGGGCTTCTTACAGAATTTATCGCTGCTGCTGTAAAATGTTCAGAGCGGTCTGCAGAGCGTCAGCACACACAGGGACCTGTAAGGATGCCTCCTGGAATGGTTTGTTGGAATTGGTCTGCTCGTTTAATGCTAGGCTCATCAGAAGGGGTGTTAGCTCCTCAAAAGGTAATTCTGTATGAAGGCGAGGGATGGCAGGGTGATCTTCTAGTCATTCAATTAGGTTACGGGTTTTTACTTCATTGAATAAATCCATTCGTATGGCAATAGGTATATATAACTTGCTACAGTTCTTGAAAGGCTCCTTGTGTTATAATTAGGGACTATCTGGTAGTCTCCTCAATTGCTGGTGAATTTGGGAAGGGATTATGGTCTTTAATGTTTCCTGTATGATTTTTTTTCTAATCTTACTGAGCATACAGATTCCTAACCACATCCTCACTAGTTTGTGTGTTGAATGTGTCACTGCCAGATATTCTCATGAGACCAAAAAATCACATTAAATTTTTTCAAGCAACTGTAACATCTATCTTTGGCAGTGATGCCTACCTTGAAGAAATTATGGAAATGGTTATATTTTTTAACTAACATGAGTATTGCGTCTCTCGTGCAGTGTGATCATATGGAGCAGTGGCTCAGTATTTCGCAGCTGCAGAAGAGACTCGCCCTGTTATTAGGTCTAGGGATAAAGTGCAGTTACAGAAAGCCCCAGTGCACACATACTCAGTAAAATGTAATCCACAGTTCAACCAAATTTATGATATAAAAAGGTATTCAACTGTATGATTTTTATATTCTTCATGAGGCAAAAACTATTCTTTGGTCATTGAAAATACAAAGATTTAAAAACAAATCAGAAAAGTTGTCTCTAGCTGAATCTTAATATGCACCTCTTTAAGGCAGGTGTGGTGGCACACACAGTCATCCCAGCACTCAAGAGGCTGAGGCAGGAGAATCCTTGTGAGTTTGAGACCAGCCTGGGCTACAGAGGAAGCTCAAAGTCTGAACTGCATAATCAGACCGTGTCTCAACAAAATGCACTCCTTTAATGAGTAATTTCTATTACTCTTTAAGTTTTTTGTTTTTTATTAGTCATTTCTCTATTGCTGGGCAAATTACCTGACACTTGTAATTTAAAGGGGGGAAGGTTTATTTTTGGCTCACAATTTCTGAGGATTGAGTCCATGGTTTGCTGGCTCCCAGGCAGAAGCGGCCATGGTAAAGGACAGCTTCTCACCCCACTGCAGCTAGGAAGGAGAGGGGAGCGAAGAATGGGGACAAGGAGACACCCTTCCAGGTCACAGCCCAAGAAACCTTATTCCTCCAGGGCCCATCCCTGAGCACTAAACTATGGCGCGGGGGGTGGGGGTGCATTTTAGATCTAAACTATAACAATTTTCTTGTGTGAAAGGGAAAAGAGATGGAGAGAAAAAGTCTTCCACGTGTGATTTAGTCTTTTTATTTTGGTTCTCATCTTTAGCTTTTCCCACCACATTTGAGTTCTAAATTATTGACTCTGTGATATGAAATTAAGATCATTTTCTGGCCTCTTCATCAAAAGTAATTCTCTCTTGCTGAGCCTCCATTCTCTTTGTGAGTCCTCATGTTTGGGTAGAAGGCCTGAAGTCATTTTAGCCTAGAACTGAGTATCTGAGTTAGACAGAGGCTGGTTTTATATCAAGTTTTTGAACTTGCAACACAAAGCTAGAGAAAGGAAGGAAATGACCTTGGACATCATCCTTCCAGTAGGGAGCATTATTAATATGAAAGGTGGAGTGGGCTGTAATTTTTTCTCTTAGACAAGAGTACTCGTGATAAACATTGTCATACGTCACCTTAGGTGTGGAGAAAGAGACCCGACTCTGTCCCCTCATCCAGTGGGTAGACGCCACTGCAGGAAAAGGAGAGAGGTGCTCAGCCCCAGGCCTCACCTTTTTTGGGGAGTCAGACCTGCAGGGTTTCCTCTACCCTGTGACTCCTTGGGTCCAGCACTTGGGAGCTTGGAGGAACATCCTGTGGATACACGGACAGGGTGGTCAGGTGCCTCTGGTGGCATTTGTTTCTGAGCTACCATGTCACCTGTGCTTCAGCAAGGCTGGGTTATCCTGTAAACCAGGGGACACTTTTTATTTAATTGTGAGGTTGGAAGAATATTAGAAGACATATCCCTCATCCTAGAAACCTGTTATTGCATAGATTTTCCTTCATGTGAGGCTAACAAGTAGCCATGCGCTTGTTTGTGACAGCTGGGTGCATTAGCAGAAATTACTAAGTGCAGGTGGTGCAGGTGATGCTTAAATGTGGCTGTGATCGTGTAAGGATCTTGTAAGGGGGCGCCTCAGGGTTACGCAGTGTGTGTTGATGCAGGGAAGGACCTCTGGGTGCTGCTGGCCCTAGCTGAGGAGCTGCAGAGGACACAGCCAGGCGTCCAGGATGTGACTGCTCGAATAGGACCACAATTGGTTCACTGGGCTGTGTGCTCTTTCCAAAGAGTTCAAGCACCAAAATGCCCTTCATTTCTGTATTCACCATTTAGAGGAACTGCAGGGCTGGAAGGGTCAGTCCCTCTCTTGTGCCAACCTTAAACCAGCTGTCTGTCACATTTGAGCAAATTATTCAAGAAATTATTCCCCCAAACAATTTCTTTTATAGGGTGCAAATACGGAGTCAAGTTCAATGCCTTGCAAAACCAGCTTTTGAAGATTTTGTGTAGATTTTTCTCTCTTCACTTTCTCTTCTCCAGCAACTTTTGACATTATGTAAGCAATACAATTAAGGTCCCAGGCATGTAGGATATGGATGGGGAGACTGCTTTGCCAGCCTGGGCAGGTGACTTGGGGCTTCCTCTAGGCCACATCAGCTGCCTCTGGTTCTGCTGAAATACATCCTCTTTTCCTCCTCCACGTCACTTTCCCTGATTTTTTCACGGCTCATTGGCACCGTGTCCCAGCATTGCACCGTGAGCCTGTGATCAGTTTCTTGAGACTCCCCAGAGCTGTGCTGCAGAGCGGCCTCATGGGAGATTTCCTTACCAGTGACACTTAACATATTGGGGGTGTCCTTGCTCCCCACGAAAACCCTTTCAGAGTTTGACAAATGGAAGGCAGATGGTAAACAACAATTTGGGCTCAGGGAATGTGGAAGTTGTCTGAGTACAAAACTTATATGATCAATTTTATTTAAAAACATCATTAGGACTTCTTATCGTCAGCCTACAGGTAGTGACCACATCTTGACTATCCTTGGTTATAATGGAGATATTCTGAAACAATTTCCTACAGTTTCTGAGCTTGCCTTCTTCCTCATTTCTTTCATTTAAAAGGTTACACATAAAATGAAGTTGAGAGAAAGAGCAGATTACTGGAGGAAACCTTTGCAATAATATGGCAAAAAACAAATTTAAGATCCGTGAGCTCTTCAAATGACTAAAATGATGAGAAACCCAAAAGAAAAATGGCCATAACTATAACCCTGAGGAAACATCGAACACAGCTAGCAAACACAAAAAGTGCTCACCTTCCTGTATCACTGGAAAGAATCAAAGCAGGTTGCCACCTTCTCGGTGCCGGCTGAGCAGAAATCAAGATTGTGGAACACCCTAGTGTAAAGAGTAAAGAACAGCAACGAAGCATGTTGTTAGAATTAGGAATTGTGCAACTTTCTGAAGGGTGATTTGGCAAACATCTATGAGCAGGAAGGTGCCCAGATACGCAAGGATGTATAACATGGTTGTCTTTACAGTGTTATTTGTAAGACGCTTCCGTAGAAAGCAGCCTCGCTGACCCTCAGGGGTGTTCATGGTAATACCATGACTTACTGAGCTTGTCGGGATAGCATGCATGCATGAAAATAATGTGTTCGTTCATATGGAGAAAGTGGGGAATAAAACACGAAAGATCATGAAGAGGGGTGAAGGAATGAGACCTATTCTTGCATGTGAATAAAAGTTCTTTGCAAAGTTGTACCAGCAACTGTCAACACTTAATTCTAGAAGGAGGATTAGAGAGCAGAGGTCGAGAGAGGAGAGAGCAAGACAGAGGGCTTGAGTGACTTAAAATTGTATAATTCTGAGTTTAATTGTAGCAGCTCTGGAGGATGAACATTAGACTAAGCTGCACTCAGAAACCATGGCTGTAAGATTGGGCTGGTGTTACTTCCGCTTCTCTCCCCCAGCCCAAACACTTTCCGTAGGGGCTGGTTTTTCATTTTCTTTACTTGGTGGTACATCTGGGGATCAAACCTGGGGCCTCCTATATACCAGGCAAGCTCAGTACACTGAGCTGCATCCCACCGCTTTAGAGGGTGCTTTTGGGAGAATAGACCCAAAGACTTCTAGGGAAGTCCCCAAAACAAAAGCAAAGACTTTGCCCAGCTCTGGCAAGGAAAGACCATGTGCCAAAAATTGAATCAGCTGACCCAGCTTTTTTAAAAATAACTCAGATAAAATAAGTGAAAGCCATGCTGGACTTCGGGGCCAATTATTCCTGGTGTCCACTGTACCCATCAGAGAATAGCAGTCATGCGTCTTCTCCAAGCTTTCCCCCTTTTAGCTAGTGATGTGCTCACCTCCCAGCCAGCTCTGATGACCTTCTCCCTGCCTCCTTTAAGCAGCTCTGGATCTGGCTGGGCTGCACATGTCTCCAGGGAGTGCGTTTGCATAGCTGACCTGAGTTAGGGGCCACATCTTATTTTTTTTCTCCAGTTGAGCAGCATTTAAAATGCCCAATAGCATTTTCCTTGCTATGTTTTTAAGACTTAGAAAGTTATTTAAATGTTGAGGTACTCCAGTTTTTATACTGGTAACTGTCCTACCGTGACGTCTTTTTTTTTTTTTTTTTGTCTTTTTGAGACAGGGCCTCTCTATGCAGTTCAGGCTGGCCTTGAGCTTACTTTGTAGCCCAGGCTGGTCTGGAACTTGCAATGATCCTCCTGCCTCAGCCTCCCCGAGTGTTGGGATTACAGGCATGTGCCACCACCCTGACAACCATGACATCTTAACACACAGTGGGCACTTTATTTTCTAATCCCCTCTCCCAACTTCTAGCATCACAAACTTGTCAGTCATTTTCCCTTTGAGATCTTCTCCTCCAACTTTGGGCATCTGGGATGCCCAGACAGAGCGGGCCCCAAGACCAGGTGACAGTTTTTCTACCAGCTTCTGTGTATGGTTGACGAGGTTTTTGTTTTGTTTTGTTTTGCTGCCACCCAAGTTCTCTCTCTGCATTTTTGCCCCCCTAGTCTAAAGGTCCAGGACTGACTGGCCTATTCTTTCAGATGGAGACTACTTCACCTTCACAAGGCACGAGCCCATCGGGGTGTGCGGACAGATCATCCCGGTGAGTGGGCCCCGCAACACACGAAGCAGGGTGATGTATGTTTCCCACTACTGGAAGAAAAAAGCGGAGCTCACGTTGTTGACATAGCTCCCACAGCCGCCCTACGAGTGCTTATTTGAACAGGTTGACGGGCTGCAGCTCCGTTTCTAGGAGGTGAGCTCTCCAGTCGGGGAATTCTCCTGACTCAAATAAGCAAAGCAGAGCTCAGCGTGTTAGGAACCTGCCTTCACTTGTGGATGTCTCTCCTACTCACAGAAAGTCGATGCTTTGCTATGTTTGCTTGTTTATTTTTTAGAACTGTTACTCACCCTCTTTCCAGGCATATTATTTTATAGGGGCCTTCAAGCCTCCTGCTTCCCACCATTTCTTTTCAAAAGATTCTCGATAGAAGACGCTACAAAACACACAGCGGTCCAGTTAACGTCATGGTCATAATTGAAACCATGCTGGGCTGTTGTCCGCCTTGTAAAGGGAAATAGATGTCATTCCCAGTGTTTGGGTTGGAACGTTAGACACTGTCCTTTGCTCTGTCCCTCACACACACCCTTGGCACAGAGAACCCGCTAGCGGTATGAGCTAATAGTTCCGGTGGCAATTTCAAGGACAGGATCAAATTAAACCTACTGTAGAGACCAGGAGATCTCTCTTTGCAAAATACAGGGGAATAGCTGAAGCTGATCTTTGGCTTGGAAGCTCACGATGTGAGGGAGTTACTGATATTTATTCAAATCATCAATAAAGCCCCAGGTGAAATTTCTTACAGGTTTGGGAGGGGAATCGGAAGCTCGGTTGTTGGAGCTGTTCTGCCCTAACCCCGGGGGACCTGCTTGGAGCTGCCTGGGGTGAGACCTGTCACCTCACTGGGGACCCAGACCTGCTCCTCCTGCCCTTCCTGGGCTGGGGACTGCGGCTTCTCTGATGGGATGAAGGTCCCTTGTCAGCCAGCCCTGGTTCAGTGACCACACTCCAAGATTTATATCCCGCAGATGGAATTAAAACATCCCTGAGGACTCTTGAGTTTATAAACAACCAAAAGGAAAAGAAATTGGGTGTTGGGTGATGGCGAGACACTTGTATATTTTTGCAGGGCTCCAGAGCTAGTGGGAGTGATCCGGGGCTGGCAGCTGAGGCGCGTCAGGAAGAGCTGCATGCGTGGGGACAGGACCGCTGCCATCCTGCTGATGAAATTATCAGTGACACCTGATAGCGATGAGGCTGTGCCTGGGATTATGACAGGGCAGACTCAGGGTCCTGGTCAAGCCAGTTTAAACCGTGCTCGGCCCTGAATTCATACACTCTCGTAAACATAGTTTAGTGTCATCATTTTGCAGTGGGAAAGAGATGGATGAAAAATATTGCATGCTTGTGCATACGTATTTTCTTTGGAATAATGTGGGGTTTGTGACCACCTGTGTAAGAAAAGGTACCCCAGGACCCTGGAGCACAAATGTAAGGCACAGCTAGGATCTTCTTTTTCACTTCTTCCACAGTTGAATAGCTTTCACCCCAAATAGGAAAAATCCTTCTGTAAAAGACTCAGATTCAAGCAAAAGATTTTCATACAAGGGTTTATGGACTCTAATGTTAAAAATAATATAATACAAGAATAAATGAGAAACCGAGACAGTGCAAAGGGATAGCAGGACTTTCCTCTTCCCCTGGAATTTCTTTTGGAGGGGGATTGTTGGAATAAATAATTTATTGTACACAGAGGAAGGAAGGATTCTTTTTCAAGGTTAATGCTGTTATATTTTTAATGAAACAATTAGAAGACTAATCATGTACCTTGTGCTGGGCAGCACTTAGGTTGGGGTTGACTGAAATCTGAGAAATCACTTTAAAGACAGCCCCAGGACCCTACGTCTTCTTTTCTGTTTTTTGTTTTTTTGGTCTTTTTGAGACGGGGTCTCGCTATGCAGTTCAGGCTGGCCTTGAGCTCACTTTGTAGCCAGGCTGGGCTGGAACCTGCAAGGATCCTCCTGCCTCAGCCTCCCGAGTGAGTGCTGGGATTGCAGGAGTGCACCCCTACACTCGGCCTGACCCGGGTCTCCTTTGCCAGTGGAACTTCCCGCTGCTGATGTTTGCCTGGAAGATCGCGCCTGCGCTGTGCTGTGGCAACACGGTGGTGATCAAGCCAGCGGAGCAGACGCCCCTGAGCGCGCTCTACATGGGAGCCCTCATCAAGGAGGTAGGACGTGGAGGGAGCCCTGGCCTTCCCTTGGGCTCTCAGGCAGCCCCTCCCCTGCTGAACTGTGGCGTGTTTCAGGCTGGCTTTCCACCCGGAGTCATCAACATCCTTCCAGGATACGGGCCCACGGCCGGTGCTGCGATCGCTGCTCACGCTGGCATAGACAAGATCGCGTTCACAGGCTCCACGGAGGTAGGCGCTAAGGGCTACTAGGGTTAGGGTTGGAGGGAGCAAAACACAAACCCTGTGCTCCAGGCCAGCTGCAGGCTGGGTGCTCGGGTTGGGGAGCACGGGCATGTGAAGCGGAGTGCGCTCCAGGCTGTCTCTGTGATCCCCTCTGCATGCTAACAGTCTTGGCAACTGGGCTTCAAGTTACTTTTTGGAGTCAAGAGTATATAGCAAAAGCCTGGCTGATGTTTTGAAATTTAAACCAGCCTGTGGCCGGGAGGCCCATGGAGACAGAGGTCACCTCTGCAGGGTTCTCCAGGTTCTGCAGATGCAGGTGGTGGTTGCTGACTCTCCCTGGGGAGGACAGAGCAGCCACCAAGTTGTGGGCCAGCAGCCTGCAGAAAATGCTGCAGGCACTGCCAGTCAGCTACGTCCAGCGGCTCTGCTTATTCCCAGATAACACACACACCAGTGTCGCTCTGTGCCCCTTAAGCTTTATTTATAAACCCTGGCACTGAATCTAAGGTAATGTTTACACATCAAAAAATATTCATCCTTTTATTTTTTACCAACTATTTAAATATGTGAAGATTGCTTTTAGCTCATAGGCAGCACTAAAGTGGGTCGCAATCTGCAAATCCCGGGCACAGAGATGCAGGTCTGCTTAGGGAGGTTACAAACAGGTTCCTGGAGCCCCGGAGCCAGGGTGCAGAGGGAGAGGGGTGTCTGAGCCAGTGCTGTGAGCAGAGCCAGACAGTATTGCTGAGTGAAAGGCGTCTGAGTCTGCAGGAAGAGAGTGAGAGCAGCTTTACTGTCGAAAGGGGCTCATAGCCATGTTTTTAATAAAAGACATGAGTGAAATTAATTTTAATAGCATGCTTCATGGGATACACTATTTCAAAAGTCTCATTTAAACATTACGAGTATAGAAACTATTCGTGCTGTATTTTGTGTTCTCTTATTCGTGCAAAGTCTCTGGAGTGTGGTGTCACAACATCCATCCATGGCTCTGTGCCCCATCACCACAGGTGGCCAGTGGCCACCACACTTTGCAGTGCAGGCCTAGAAGCTAATAATGTCCATCAATGTAGAGTTAAAGATACTGGGTGATACTCACTCCTACTAATTTCATTAAAAAGCTCATGGGACGTTGATTAATAGACTTGAATGTTAATTTATTTGTGGAGGTTATTGGTTTTATATTTGTCAAGAGCAAATCTTGCTTCCAGAACTTCCCTCATAGTAGCTGTCACAGTAATATTACATTTGAAGGATGTAACCTGAAATGTGAGTACTCCAGGAGTGACCTGCATACACCAAGGACAGTGATGCAAACGTATTTGCTAAGGCTGGGATGGTCAGGGAAGCTGAATCCTACTAGGAGAGAGTGTGAAGGATTGGGGCAAACACAGATCTAAGCAGGGTATTGCCTGCTTTGCACAATTTTTTCCCCCACTCCACTTAAAGAAACTGAAACAAGAAATCTGAAGCTATGTTTTAGAGGTGGGCTTTTTTTTTTCTAAAAAGGATTGGGGGGGTCCATAATTAAAGTCCTGGATTCTATATCAAAAGCCTGGGAGAAAAAATTATACATATATATTCCAAATTTAAATGAAACATTTAAGGTGTTTACCCCTCTTTTAACCTTCTTTTTTCCTGTTAACTTCTCAGTGTAAAGGCTCAGGTAAAAGGCTTTCTCTCTCTCTCTCTCTCTCTCTCTCTCTCTCTCTCTCTCTCTCTGTCTTTCTCTCTCTTTTGTGGGGGGTGCTGGGGACTGAACCCAGGATGTTATGCATGCATGGCAAGTGCCCCAGGCAGGTGCTGTGCTGCCCAGCTGTATCCCAGCCCAGCCTCCTTTTTCTTAATTAAAAATATTTCCCCAAACCTGACAACACACCGTATAAAATGAGGTATAATACTTCGTCTTGTCAACACTTTAGAACTCCTTTATTCTTCTTAATACATATGTAGAATACTCTTATTAAAGTAGATATACTTTAATCCTCCATTAAGTACAGTGTGGGTCTTCTTTGTTGGTTTGTTTCTCTCTTTCTTCCTACCACAGAGACTACTGAAATGAAAACATTTGGGGAAATTTCATTGTTATGTATTTTCTACATTGGAATTACAAAATAGAAGGGCATTTGTATTTTAACTTGTTCATCAAGAATGCACTGGAGTGATCATTTCATTTACAAGATCTCTTTATATGTTAATTAGTCTTGTTTATTGTAGAATTTTAAAATCTTATTATCAGTCCATTCTTTCTTTTTTAATGTTTTGAAAGACTTGGTTTCTGTGCACAGGTTTCAAATGTGTGTGTAGTTACATCCTTGCTTAGCCTTTCTGCTACTGGTTTCTGAGTTTCCTGTATCTTTTAAGAAATCCCTTCAGTATCACATATACGGCTCTTAATATTTTCTTTCAGTGCTATCACGATTTTGTTTTGGTTTGAATCTTTAATACAGTTGAAATTTATTTGACCATCTAGTGGAAGGCAAGGGCTAAGTCAGTTATTTCAATAAACTAGTGTTCAGTTACTTCAACCTCATTTATTAAACAGTGTATCCCCTGTAACTCATTTGAATGCAGCATAATATTGAAAGAGTTTTGGCCCAGACAGGACACTGTAGCTGGAGCCAAGGAACCAAGAAGCCAAGGAGCTCCATCTCCCCCACCCCTAAGAATTTACCTCTGGTGTCAAAGGAGTGCCAATGGGCTACCTGTGCATCACTAATGCCCATCACTAGGTTCTACCCCAAACCTAGGCTACTTATATGCCCCCACTCCACGTGTTCCACGGAGAGATTGCTGACCCCAGGGGGGAGATACCGTGCCCCAGGGGATCAGGGGTGTCTCTCCCCGCATTCTCAAAATAAAGGTCATTTATATTTCATACTTCTTATCTTTTCAGCTGCTGCCGGTCCCCCACAGTTCTATCAAATATGAGATGATAAATTTCCATATGTACGAGCGTCTGTTTTAAGACTCATCATTTTATTTATCTGTTCTTTTGTTATTATCAAACTGCTCTGATTCCTAGGTCTAACCTGTGTTGGAATATGGGAGCCAACATACACTCATGTTTGTGTTTGCAAACTCTTGTGGCTTACCTTGCCCTTCTCATCTTTTGGATGAAACTTCAAGTTGATTATCTAAACTGCTTGCCCTTCTCCCAAAACTCTTCTTGGGAGCTGATTGGCACTGAATTTTGTCCACCTTAGCACAAGGGAACCACTCTACCACGTCAGCTTCCCAGTTAGCAGCACTGCACATCTCTCTCCAGCTATTGGTCCCGTACTGTCCATGTCGTCATCATATAGGTTTCTGGCATTTTTTTGATAAATTTATTTCTAGGCTTTAAATATTTTCTGCTAAAAACTGAGCACCTTTGTTTTAAGCCACAGCATTATGTAGTGGAAAATTATTTATTATTCACTGTATTATTGAGTAATATTCTATTATACAACAGTGCTCTATTATTCAGTAATAGACAGAACTTTGTTTTTTAGATCTGAAAATAAATTACATAATAACCCAGTAAACACTCCCCAAAATTGTCAAAGCTCTTGGGTTCAGATCTCTGTTTTTAAAAATGTCTTTTTCAAAAGCATTTTAAATAACTTTACTGAAGTGTAATTGATATAGATTAAAACACATTCATTTAAGCACCCAATATGTACACCCATGTAATTATCACCTAAGTAAAGATATCTAATATTTCCATACCCTAAAAAAAATTCTCATGTCTCTTTGTGATTGGCACCCTTGGCCCCAGGCAATTACTGATCTGTTTCATTAATTTTGCCTGTGCTAGACTTTTATACAAATAGAGCAGTAAAGCGGACCTCCTCCTGTGTGTCCTTCATGTGTGTGCTTTACTTTGGTTGCTATTTTCAAATTTAAGGTGTTGTTGATATGATTAAGTTTCAGGGCCCCATCTTGACTTAGAGCTTCTTTGTCCCATCAGATTTTCGGGACCCTTCTTTGTCTGCCCTTCTGGATGAATGCTCTGATTTTGATACTGCATTGTGTCACAAAGTAACAGGAAAACAGGGGTAGAATCAAGAAGGAAATATAAGATAGGAAAAAGAATTCATGGAACTTCTAGAAGTTAAAAATTTAACATCTGAGGCAGATGTTAAAAAGCACTACAGAGCATCGGAGACAGCAGAACCATCCAGACAGAAGCATGAAGAGAAGGCGGAAGAGATGAAAGAGGCCCAGGGACCTGGTGACAACGTCAGCTGATTTAACTGGGAGCGGGAAGACGATGCAGAAATACATGTGAAGAAATAATGGTCCAGATGTTTCCAAATATTAATAAACCTCAAGCGATCAGGAGAAAACAGTTATGGGAAAAGCAAAACTTCTGAAAACCAGTAAAAAGCTGACCTCAGAAGCAGAGGAAAAAAAGAACCATTATGTGCAACGAAGCAAAGAGAAGAGTGAGCATAGGAATCTAATCAGTAAGGAGCAAGTCGGAAGGGTGTAGTAAAACAAAAAATAAAGCAAGCAATAAAAGCTGTCACGTTACCACTCGATATCCAGAAAAAAAGGTCATTAAAACAGAAGACAATTTTAAAGATATTTTCAGACAAAGAGGAACTAAGAGAATTCACTTCTCTTAGTGTAAGAAATATTAAAGACTTTTACAGAAGGAGGAAACAGTAACCAAGGATGAGGGCCTATATCCCAAACGAGCATGAGTATGCAACTGTAAAATAATTTTTGTCACTTAAAAAACCTTTAAATGATAACTGAACTTTAAAATAATAATAGTAGGAATATGTGATGGCCACATAACATACATAAAAGTAAGTAACAGGACAGCAGTAGAATAGACTCGAGGAGGAATGGAAGAAAGTACATGGGTATCGCATTACCTCCTCAGGTGTGTGACACTGATCAACAGTAACCAAGATGCAAAGTGCAGACACAAGAGCATCCCCCGTAGAAGACACAGTGTGTCTACAGTGTGCATGTATGGTTTTGCTTTTGTTCGTTTCTATGAATTTGAGCGG